AAAAAAAAAAAAAAAAAAAAAAAAAAAAAATTGTGCACATTGCAAACTGCATTATTGAAACCCACTTATTCCTCATCCCATGGTAGCGTGTTGGAATGCTTTTTCTATCTCTGATTTGCAGACACTAGGACAAAAGGAAGATACTTCAGAATAAAACTGGCTGACCTGCAACTGTGCACATAATGTCAGGTAAAAGGAGCAGTGTGCCTAGCATGATCTTGAAAAGGTTGAGATAAAAATAAGTTGGCATTAAAGCACTGCATTATTCTTATAGGAAAAGAGTGACTACGTCTTCCAGTAAACAAAAGTACAATTTCTTGGTAATGAAAAACAAGAAATCTTTGTTCCCTTTATCTATACAATGTAGAAATAATCTTCCTTTTTTAACCTAAGACTCCAAAATGTGTGTCAGATTTATTTTATTTGCTAGCAGCTGGAATGCACGCTGATGCGTTTGCAGATATGAGAGAAAATCACTCTGCACTTGCAGTGCCTTTCTGCAAACGACCTTACACAGCTTCTAATGGCCCCTGTAAGTCAAGAGGCCGTGAAGGGAAACAGGGAAGAGGTGTGCTCATGATGGCCCAGCTGCTCCCCCCATGAGTCTGAGGAACTTTACTCAGGCAGGTATAAGAAAAGTGAAGCAAAGCGAAATTGAGAGATTTCTCTGAAGACTTGCAGTTTCTTAAATGTATAAGATTAAAATTAACATTAAGATAATAATTGTGGGTGCTTGCTTAGAATCGTGACTTGAAATTCAACTCCGCCTGACGCCAGAGTACACCTCATGAGAGGACATAGGTGCCAAGGACACTGTCACACCACAGCTGAGGGAGGCACCTCACCCTTGGACAAGCGGCTGCCTCTGCAGGAGCAGACATGATTGGACTTTTCAGGAACTGAACAAAGGCACCAAACCTACAGAGGAGTCTAAGGGAGAAAAGCTGGAAACACTGCAATAGCACTTAAGCGACATGTGGCAGGACACAGGAAATGCTGCTGTTAGTGTTTTGCTAGTGTTTTAGGTCCACTGCTACTCGGAAAGATTTTTTCCTTAAAGTGAGTTTTGCTTTATAAAAATATTGATGTCAAATATATGTACTTAAATGGGACTCTGAATGGTACTCGAAATTCATTAGAAAGAAAGTCTACAGCTACAATGTCCAGGAGAAATACCATGTCTTATCTACCCTGAAAGGCAAGTGCTCGGTGGATATTCTATTTGTAAAGAACTGCAACCTGGGGACAGGCAGGAAAGAAAATCGGGGGGATCCAGAAGAGCCCCACTCAGGAAGCCATCGCTGCGGCCTCTACTGCCTTTCCACCTGTGACACAGGTGACCTCGGCGTGAGGGTAGCACTGTGGCATTCGGAAGCTCACCGACAGAGTCGGGAAGGCTGGCTTACCTGGGCTCTGTGGTGGGGAAGGGGAAGAACCACAGGACACGGTGTAGCAGCAAGCAGACACGCAGTCTACTCCAGTCGGAAGTATCCCGTCAAACTCAACTGCACGGCTATGTGGCAGTTCAGAATGCATTATTTTGAGAGACTCAAGAACTAAAGTAGCCTTTGGCCAGCCCCCATGGCACAGCAGTTAAGTGCTATGCAGAGGAAGCCTGATCCCAGGCTGATCAGGGTTCAAGTCCCTGCCAAGGCAGCTTGAAAAACATGCAAGTGCCCAGGATCCTGACAGGACGGAGAATTGGAAGATAGAAGACGGCAGCATGCCCAGGACCCCTAAGGTTCGTTCACTCTCCCTTTCTCTCTCACACACATGTGCCCTCCGGCATAAAAATAAAGTAGCCCGGGGCCACCCTGTGTGTGAGGGGATCAGATGGCTCTCACTGGACAATGCCCTGCCCTCCTGGCCCCCCTCGGGAACATCACAGACCTGGGCACTCCACTGAGCATTTGTCACACACCATCGCTCTCACACACGCACGCACACATCACTCACACACACACATCATTCGCGCACACACACACACGCACACGCACGCACTCACTGCCTAACCATCTGAAACCCTTCCTGTACACAAAGGGACAGTGGCTCAGGCAGACTGAATGTCTTGGCCGAGTCATCCCTGGGTAAGTCACACATCTGGCCCAAGAATCCTGACCAACACTCCTCTACTGTCATCCCATACAAAAGTGTGAAAAGCTGCTTTTAAAAAGGGAAAGTTAAGGATACTTAACACCCTGGAAGTATTCAAATACAGAAAGGGACTCTACAAACATCTCAGGGAAACAGCGGCCAACATCTACTCTACAAGGACTAGATCTTGGAGACTAATCTTTCTGAGACATAAGTTTTTGTTCCCAAACAATGTTTCTATTTATAGCAGCAGCAGGAGGGCAGAACTGAGAATCACGCGGATTACAAAGATCTGTTTAAGTGGTATCTGTAAACTGAATCTGTAAAAAGGACCTATTTGCAACTCAGAGCGCAAACGAGTGTAACGGCCTCTCCCTGTACTGTAGCTGAGCCCGGGCATGACGACGCAAAGCAAAGCCACAAGTTAAAGGGATTTAAAATGTTAAGTTTGTCGAGTGTCTTTCCGTTGATTAATAACATGCATAGGGTGTTTCACCCTCAGGGGAATGGAGAACCCCGGAGTCAGGGAGCAGGGAGGCCAGATGCCCCCGAAGCCAGCTGACTGCGTGGTGATGCACCGGGTCAGGACGTGCCCCACTTCGTCAGGACCCCACTTAGTAGAGACAGAAGACTAATGGCTCCAGAATGCCTAAGGGGTGGTTACTCCGGGCACCGCTTTCTTAAAGGTTTTGGCAGTGAAAAGGAAATAAAAGAGAAGTAAGACTTAATGCTACGTAACACCATTTTATAAATTCTAAATGTGTGGATTTGGGGGTTTACATCGCTGTCCTACCTAGAAGGTTTAGAGGAAGATCTATAACTTCATCTCCCAAACCCCAAACCAAAATGCAGCCCTGAGATCCAAATTCACCTCAGTGACAGAGCCCCCCTTAAGAGACAACGTGCAGCTTTAAATAGTGAGTGCGTGCGAAGTTACAATCTTTCTGCTAGATTTACCTAAATGCAGGTATTGAAAATGCTCGCCCTCTCACTCCTAGGTAACAACTTCCTTGACATCAGCGGTCAATCTGGAGGAAATGTGCAATATCCCGGGGAAATCATACATAAGACTGCATCTATGAATATGCTCTAAGAAAAGCAAAGTGTTCATGGAAGCATAAAACAGTTTCACCTTTAAATAAAAATTCTTTATTCATTCCTGACAGGTTATCAAAATGTACATTGTTAACCAAATAAAAATGGTACTTCATAATAGCTAACCAGGGCATACTTGGAGGATTTGTTTACTTTTAAAAGAGTAAAAATCACTTGCGACCTCTTTCCACACATTCCTAACACGCCTGCACCACGGCTACTTAAAATGGAGCCAGACACGGTTGTCCACTCACACCGTAGGTAAAGCCAGCGGCTGCACGGGGACTGGCTGCCGTCCTCGGCCAGAACTCTCAGATGAGTTTACGCCCCTTTCTACTTCTACTTGGGAACTTAGTGAATTGCATATAGAATACATTACATGACTCGTATTCACCTACACACACTTACACACACGGGATAAAGTGCAACACGACAGACCAGGTCTGTGACATTCACTTCCTCAAACCCCTACGGGAGGACTTTCGGGGGAAATGGAATCGTATTGTTCTCAGGGGCGTGGGCACTACATCCAAGGAGTCGGTTATCTTCTCCACACTGACGCTTACACTGAAACTCCTATGTGCTTTGCTTCCTCTGTGGTTTATGTCTCTCATTCTCACTGAAAGTTTTGAAGCTGTGATTTTTAAACCTTGAGAAAAATGAGCTCCCCAGAACTAGACAAGTAGCGCTCTGAAGAGTGTTCAGGTTTTCTGAGCGCTCTGAGGGGCTTCCACGGTAGCCCATCTGTAACAAGGAAATTCGAGTCTTTTGTAAAAAAGTAAGTGTTGCATTAACTTGGCAGCAAATGCTTGTAGGACCTTTGACACCAGCCACCAAACATCCCTGGCAAGTATGAACCTAGCCCTAAGATGTCAGAACCTTTTGGTTGTATGTTGTTTTGACATTAAATTATTTAACTAAAAAATGCTTTTGTTCCTGAGATGAGCACAACAAAACTAGATGAGCTCCCCCGAAGCTGCCGCTGGGCGGCGCCCCGACTCCCACCCTGTCCTCCTCTCCCAGCGGCGCTGCGACCCCCACCCTCGTCATCCTCCCCAGCTGCGCTGCGACATCAGTCTTCACCGTGGCGCCACTTCTGGGATTCGTCTTGCCGGACATCCGGTCTGATTTGGTTTCTCATGCCACCCAGCACGTTGGATGTTGCTTCCGTGGCGACAATCAGGGGTTTCACCACCGCCGGGGGGATCTGACGCAGGACTTCGCCCACGGCGCCAGTAACGCCCCTGCTCTCGTGCTCGCGGGCCGCCGTCTCGTAAATGGTCTGAGCCGTGTCCGTGATGCCCTGTGGAGCGCGGGAAGTGGGTCGGGGTTACTGGTCGGAAAACCCTCCCAACCACCCGGCGATGCACACACAGTACGGTTAACCATCATGTCTGCAACGTGTCCACTTTTGAGATAATCCGGGATCGTTATTTTAATGACAACATTCTAATTATAAGGGAAGGGGTGATTATTATGATTTAGTATTTTGTTGTGACATTAGTGTGGAAAAGTAAGGAAGCTCACAGAACCGTTTAACGACCCAGGACTGGTTTCCTGGCACTGTTAATCACCCCAGTTAATCAAACTTAGCAAACAAAGCTTCCTGAATAAACATATTCACTAAAGGAGTATGGTGAGAGTGCCTTTGATTCAAGACAAGAAAACTTAATTCAACTCAGCTCTAGAATATTATTTAATTTGTTTTAAATTACTGGCTGTGTATTAGAAAAGATAACTGGGGAACATTCAATTAAGATAAAAAGCTAAACAGAACATTTTATTGAATTAAATAGAAAATCCTGAGAATGTAAAGCAAGAGTGTGTTTAATGATTAGCTACAAAGTTTCTGCAGCATTTTCTGCTTTCTTTAAAGTGACTGTGACCACTAAGCTTTGAAGCTGAACATATAGACGTGCAGGTCAGCCCAGGCATGGGACAAGCTCACATGACTTTTGAATCTCTATCATTTCTCTGGGGACACGAGGCCCTGTCCACTCTGAAAGCTTCGTGATGGATACAGCACAAAGGAAAATCAAGACCTTGCTGCAACACAGCAACAAGAGAAACCACGAGTATTTCCTTCCCTGGTGTGGGCCAGGTCGGGCCTGCAGGCTAGTGTGCTGCCTCCTGATCTGAGGGTGAGCTTGGGAAACACAGGAGACATTTCCCTTCATCTTTGGCTAATAACATCCAAACTGAAAAAAATACACCCCTATTTAAGAACCCCTACTTTAGAAGAACTATAAGGCACGGTTTAGATGCAGCTGAGTCAGGCCCCTCCCATTCAACCATGCTGACATGCTCCCCTCCCTGCCCCAAGTCTCCTGCCAACAGTTTAGAGAAAGAGTACTAAACTTCGGACCCAAGAACCCGGGTTTGATCCCAGGCTCCACAACCTACTCCCTGGGGTAGACCAGGAGGCCGTCGCTGGTGCTGAGCCTAGCTCCACATTCGGGAATGTGGGACCACGTGCGTCTTTAACCGGCACTCCCCGCTAGAATAAGGAAGCGAACACTGCTCACTTCCAGGTGTGGACAGAGCAAACTAGGCGAGCACCTTCTCAACTGTGACATATCCTAGTGCTCTCCACCCTGCTGCCAGCTGTCCCTGCTGTGCCTGGAACTCCGGCATCAGTTCCAACAGGCTTTCTGCCTTGCCTATTGGTAACCGGCCCATCCTGCCATCTCTTGGGACAGGTCTGACTGGTAATTCTCTCTCTTTTAAAAGCTGAGCGTTGGCCTCACCTTACCCACTAACACACTCCAGGCCTACCTCGGCAGCAGCTCGTGCTTTGGGACCACAGGCCGTGAGGCAGACTGTCCTGGGAACTTCTGACTGCTGTCAGGGATGACTGAGAAAAAGAGCTTTACTGAAGTCCTAAAACATGAGTCGTAAGTAAAATGGCTTCAAACTCCTTTACTTCGTATTAAAAAGAATGTCAAAAAAGATTAAGGCAGAGAAGGCCCTGACAATTTCAGAAACAACCAGGGTTCACTGGCACAGCTATGTCAGAGGGCAACTTAGCACTGCTTAACACATGTTGGGAGTCAACAGTTACAACTCACTAATTCACTAAAGAACTTCTTGCATATATGAATAAAGAGATATTTCAATGAACATTCCACATAGCAGTGTTTTAGAGAGAAAAGAAATGGAAGCTAAATGTTTGCCAATAGAAAAATAAACTATGATATATTCATATGCAACAAAATACTTATAAACTGTTTAACTTCCGGATGGACAGCGTCGGTTTGTCCACTCAGTCACTGCCTGTGTGAGCCTATCAGTCAGAACCAGCCCTCTTCTCTCACTTCACCCACATAAGTGCACGAGCCAGGGATGGCAGCTCCCACTCCACTCGCAGGGGTCTTCAGAACAAATGCAAAGCACTGAATGTTCTCCTGGTGAAGTAGGAAGCCTGCTTGTTGGCTGGACCTGTCCACACCAGCACCCACTTACCTCTTTCACCACACTGTAGGCCTTGGCCACACCTTCCCGCAGGTCCACTGGCTGGTGGGCTAACCGGTGGTGAGGAAACCGCTTGGTCTTCTTGGGTTCGATGGAAAGGGTACCAGGGGACACCATGTCGTAAGCAGTCTCTGCTGCAGCCTGGCTCATTTTACCAGAAGGAAGAAATGATCAGAAGAGAGTCTGGAGAGTTATGCAAACTGCCCCTCACCACGGAATTGAGGGACAGAAGGACCTGTGTGCTCCCGTACAGACACTTCTGGAGGCTTTGGATTCTTCACAGGGATTTATGACTTCCATAGCAAGAATGTGAAAATACAAACTGAAAACTAGTATCTGGACGGAGCTGATTGTTTTAGCTCCCACTCTGTCCATTGAGAACCCTTCACATCTCCATGTCAAACCACAGAGCTTAAGTCTTAACAGAGCAAATCTTGGTATCACCACTGTTTGCACTATAATGCTTTTTTAAAAATTTAGCTACAATCTTTTCACACAAATGTGATATAAATCCACTGCAAGCTTAATGATTATAATTTACCTGAAACGGGAAAACACATCTGACATCATATTCTACTAATACTGGACATCCAAGCAATAAAATAACCATGACACTAAACCATTATAAATAAAATATCTACTCACAACATTTTTGTATATATATCTTCACAGTATGGTCTTAAAAACAAAATAATCCAACCACGTTGCCACAGTCTTTCCTCTTCATATAGCTAGGG